TAATGAGGAACCAGGCAGTAGGTATAAAACGCTAGGGGTGGAGATTTCCTGGAAATAAATTTCAACATTTTGGAAAACGATGGAAAAAAGCGTCCTGGGATATTATCCCAAGCGTCATTGGGAGAAGTGGCTGCGACTACAGTGAGTCTACTTGCTGTGTCGCCAGCGGCCATACTTCTGCTGTGAAGGGAGTAGTACCCAGCAGTTGTAGTGTTAACAAGGAGGAGTTGAAGACGTATGCTTTCTACAAAGCGGTGGTCAAGTTGATGAAATGCTTAGCTGAAAATTCAAACGAACGAAAGAAAAAAACACAAAAAAAAAACGTCTAATATCATTTTTTTTCTTGGAAAACAATCAGACAAATTATTACTTAAAGATATAAAGAAATGTTGGTAACGTTGATTCACTGACTCTGGAATACAAAGAAATTTTTTTTTTTAATTCTTATACGCATGTCGCTCAAGAATGTAGTGAAGATGTAGGTTGAGGATGTTATGCTTTCGATATGTAGAAAATCTTAAACTTAAACTTTTATAAGTGTTCTAAATGAGAAACATGTGGCTCCGGTTAGTATGGACATATGTAATATTTTCTTACCTTAAAAGTAATATTGTATATTCATTTTGAAGTCCTTAGCTTTTAAGCGTAAAAAGTAAACTTTTTGGAAAATATAAAAATAAATTGGTTACGGTTTCACTCCAAAAGTTGTGGCAACACTGATTGTGGCATCCATGCTGCTAAACCTGCCACTGTGGAGCGCGCTGGTGCCATTACTAGTAGTATTTCCTGCAGCAAACGGGTAAATAACTCACAAATAAATAATAATAATAATAATACCAGCGAGATGTTATCGTGAAAAGTTGCAAAGCTGCAACAAATTTATGCGAAATTGTTGTGCTGCGACTAAACATATACATACATATAAACGCATATCAATGGCAATATAAAAAATTTCTTCTCAAGGATTTCGTTCCGTGGTAATGGGTATGGGTATATCTATAAACATATATGTATGTATATTGCAAGTTATACATAAGAAGGAGCAGCACAAACAACCGACCTAACTGAAAAGAAAAGAAGCATGACAAGTGAAAAGATAGAAACATGTACATGTATACATTTGTATTTATAATGTGTGTATGTGGTATGTATCCAAAGAAATTTTGTTGCAACAGTGGCAATGCAATATATTGTATAAGAAATTTATTAATTCGTAATAATAAATTTTATGTCTTTCGATTTGGCATCGAAGGATAATTACGGGGTTTGCGCACGAATACTCGCCAGTCAGACGGTTCGTACATTTGTATAATATATGTACCATATTTGGTTCAATCGTACGCATTCACAGCCATTAATTGTGCCTGCCGTTTGTCGTTTTGTGTTTTCGACCAATCGATTCGTCTATTTCGGCTCAATGTATGTATGTATTGCAGTATCTGTCTGTTTAAGTGAGAAAAAAAAGCAATGAATTAAATAAATTATGCCAACCTGAAAACAATTACACCATTCATGTATTTTTTTCGATAAAAAAACATACAGTTAAAACACTGCACGCATTCCTTTAAAATTGGAGTTAATATCATTTTAACTTGCATTTATATACAAGTATACTTAACTTATACCCTATCTTCAAAAATTATTCTTATTTTTCGTGTTCATCTTAATAAATGCTGTAAAATTGTATTCTATATATTCCTCTTTGCACATCGATTACATCGACCGATCAACCAAGTTATATTATTTCTGCAAAGCTGAATGTAAAGTTCATTATGAAAGTTCATCGTTTAAATATCACGAACGAAGATTCTGGAAGGCAACGGATTACCTTGAGCTTTCTCAATCGCTTTTTTCAAAACAAATAAAGAAGGCTAAGCTAGAACAACAAGAAAAACGTTAATTTCTGTTGCACCGAAGCAATAATATAATACCCTTCACAAATACAAATGTTCCTTACAAGAACTTTACTCTGATCGTTCAATTAATATGACAGCTATAAGCTATAATCATCCGATCTATAAAATTGCTTTATTGCCTTAAACAATAATCCATGCCAAATTTCCTGAAGATACCTCGTCAAATAAAAGAGTTTTCCATACAAGCACTTGATGACGATCGTTCAGTTTGTATGGCAGTAATCTGATCTGTATGCTATAGTAATCTGGCCTGAATGCTACAGTGATCTGATTAAAAAATTTCTTCGAAGATTGCATTGTTGCCTTAGGAAATAACTCGTGCCAAATTTCGTGAAGATACCTTACAAAATTCGTAACAAATTTTAAATACCCTGTTCAGTGTAAAAAAAGGAGAAGGATTGGAAAAAGGGGAAGGAAGGACTGTTATTAAAAAGAGATCCTTACATAACCATGTTGGCCGAAATATGCGGTATAAATTCCAGCAGAAGTTCGAAAATATTTTTATTAGGTATATGGGAGCTAAAAGAAGTATTGACCCGATTATACCCATTTTTAATACAAGGGCATGCGGTCATCACAGAAATACTCTTCCCGAGTTTCAATACTAGACTTCACAGGTTCACTGTTATGTTCGGTAAGAAATTACTAATCCCTGGGGTCTACATACTTGGTGTCTGGGTCCTTGAAAAGTTGTATTTGGACGTTAGATGAAATAGCTTGAGGGAACTCGTTGTGCAAAGTTTTATTCTGGTAACAGCATTGATGTTTGATTTGTATAATGTAAAGTGAAAGAGACAGACGGAATTTAAAAATTTGTTATATGGGAAGTAGGCGTGGTTTTTATCCGATAATTTTACAGTGTGTAATAAGAATGTTTGGGTAACATCACACACCAAATTTGGTTGAAATCGGTCAAGTAAGACTTCTTCCCAGCAGTTGTTGTTGAGTTAGCTTCAGCGGTTTGGAAGATATGTACATTTTACCATATAGGAGTCGGGCCCACGCCCACTTTTAAATTTTTTAGCACATGGTGTCCCTCGCTACGGCAATCCCCCGTACCAAATTACAGTGTTCTATCTTAATGTAGTGCTTGGTTATGGCACTTTATAAGTTTGCGATTAATGGCGTTTTGTGGGCGTGGCAGTGGTGTGATTACACCCATCTGTAACACTTGGAATATATGTATGTATGTAGCAAGTTCCATCAAGTCGCAATTTTTACTCAAGTTATTGCTTGCATAGACAGATGGACGGACTGACAGTCACCCGGATTTCAACTCGTCTCGTCCGTTACTATCAGTTGTTGGGTCGTATTTTCAAACCCCAACAGAAACTACACTGAATATATGATAATAATGAGGAACGAGAGGAACTAAAGCTACATGTTACTTGGGGTTTCTAGAAAACCTCTATGTTCCGCTGAACTCGGGAAATTTTTAAAGCTATCTATTAGATAAGTATAACTTTGCCAAAGCTAGAGAGACCTAGAATAGAATTGTTTACAAAATTTTAAACAATTGTGTGTTTACAAACATATACATATATTAATCCCATCTGTTCATGAATGGCTAGTATATATGTATATATAAAACATGTTACAACGTGATTAAGTTTAAATACCGTTAAATATTTATTTTAATGTACACGTGATCAATGTTACATATATTATTTCACCATCCTTGTACTGAATATATAAAAAAACAAGTAAGGAGATTCTAATTTCGGGTGTAACCAAACATTTTATACTCCCACAACTTGCAAGGATCAAAGCCCGGAAAATTACTTCAGGTGTTAACAAAATTTTATGTTAAGGAAAGATCCGATCAATCCATTTTTGACACAAAACATATATATTTTCGGTAAAAAGTCAACTATAGGTATTGGGGCCCACATACACAGTACCTAGGGGCTTGAACACGCAAAGTTTTACCCCGATACAATAATTGTTGTTTGATTTTCATAGTTGAAAGTGAAAGAATCAGATGGAATTTAAAACGGTGTTATATGGGAAATAGGCGTGATTGTAATCCGATTTCGCCCATTTTCGCACTATTACATAGAAATATGAGAATAATGTAATGCATCGAATTTGGTTGAAATCGGTTAAGCAGATCCTAAGATAAGGGTTTTCACCTAAAAGTGGGCGATGCCACGTCCACTGTCTAATTTTGAACGCGCTTCCTATAAAGTCATCGCGTACTATCCCATAGATAAAATTTAATGACTCTGGCATGTTTAATGCTTGGGGTTGTCTCCCGGATCACGCTCACTTAAAAAAAAAATTTAACTGCAGATGCCCCTCCCTAATGTGATCCTGTGTACCAAATAACATTCTTGTATCTTATTATGGAGCTTAGTTATGGCATTTTATTTGTTTTAGATTAATGGCGTTTTGTGTGCTTGGTCGTGGTCCGATTACGCCCATCTGCTATACCAACCGTTTTACGGTACCAAGAAATATGGGTACCAAGTTTCAAAAAGATATCTCAATTTTTACTCAAGTTACAGCTTGCACAGACGGACGGACGGACAGACAGTCACCCGAATTTCTTTAGGTGAACAAAACTATTACACTCTGTAGCAACATGTTGCGAGAGTATAAATATCCAAAATATTTCGATGCAACTTCAGTACACTGTGTGTGTAATTCCTATTTAGTGAGGGCCAAGAAGACAACATACCATTTAAACTAGGGCTCTTAAAATTATTCAAATAACCCGAAAATCGATTATTCGGATATCCAGTAAGTAAGCGTTCGTACGAATATTAACCGAAGAGTACGCAATGTTACGACTCTTCGAATAGTTTTTCTATTACTATTCGAATAGTCGACACCGAACGGTTAACCTATCTATCCGCATAGTGAAAATCGAATATTATTATTCGAATAATGCCCTATTCGGCTAATGCGGTTAGTCCATTAGTCGAATACCAAGAGCTCTAATTTAAACCAATCAGTTAATGTAACGCTGCAATGCATGTGCTCGATAATTATTCGCAATTAACAGTAATTACTTAATTACCGTGGCGCTTTGTGGAGGCATGTGTGGCGTGTGCAAGCCGCTAATGTTTTACTTACATGTCGTTTATATTTTAAAAATATCTCCGTTTATTAGCTTAAATGTGTTCAACAAATTATATAAAACGACAATAAATTAATTAGAATAAATGGATTGGGTAACAGTAGAGCAAGACCTTTCCTGGATTACACACTGAGGCTAAGTAACAGAGCAGTGCCACGTTTGATCCAGTAGTCTGCCTTTTCATTACCGGATTTCAAGTCCACGGCGATAATGAAGGAACCCGCACGCTGTGGATAATAATATGCCGGGCACTGGTAAACGCCACGAGTTTTCTTTTTAAGATTCTCTACTGGCTTAAAGTGTATGACGGGCATTGGAGATATCAGCTCCATAGGTTGTGGATCCTGTAGACATTGCAACTTGCGTAACCAACCGCCACCTTCCAAAAATAGATTGCGCACATAGACACCTCCACCTTCGCGCACTATGCGAGCTGCGGCCGCATCATCCTCGATGAATACAAAGAAGTCCCATGACAGCTCGTCAATAGGGGTGCGTGTAGCGCGTGCTGATGTCTGCAATACCGCAGTAAGAAAGCCGGTGGGAAAAGTATATGCTGCCAGCCAAAATAGCATTGGTTGTTTGAGCGTTTTAGCCCACTGTGAGAAATGTTCGATACGTAGAATGAGATCGCGTGACCACGCAGCCAGTGGTTTTAAAGACGGATAAGCTGTAAAGGTTGATGCATTATTAGCTGAAGAAATGCAGAAAAGTTTAGCAGTATATGTATGTACATACATTTCAACCACACGGCTGGTACACGACCTTCGTAAACTGATTGATAAATATCTTCTAGTTCGGTGCTCATCACGACAAGTCCTTTTATGCCACGCTGCAAATCTCGCATATGTATTTTCATTCTGCTCAGCAGAAAGTTGTAACGCTCTATTTCCTGCAGCAGCACCACTTCGAGAGGCGAACGATTAATGCCGATTAACTTTGCGGTTTGCTCGTAATTTATTTCGTCTGGAGTGCTCGCAAATATGTCTTTGGCTAAACGCAAAACTTTCGTTTCCATGCTCTCGCCAACCGAAGTGGTAGTCTGCACTTGCATTGACATTAAAGTCTCGAAAAGCAGACGCGTCTCACCGATTAGTGAAGCAATATCTGCATTGGGATGCTGACCGAAAGCTTCCGGTTTATCAAAGTTCGGAAATTGGTGTATCTGATCAATATACGATTGCAGGTCTCCATCAGCGGGTATAAAATAATTTGTGAGTGTAGAGAGCCTATAAATATGATCACATTTCAGATATCTAAGTAAAACTACTAAATTAGATATTTTACTTACCGAAACTTGTGTGTAGTTAAAGCGGCGTCACAATAGAACTGGTTTATATATGTCGTTAGCAAACGCCGATCCCAATCATCGGTCACGTGTCCGCCATAGTTTATGCCAGCAATAAGATACTTCAGCGCACCCCAAGGTGTCTCTTCATACTCATTTAAGTACAAAGCCAACAGTACATCGGAGACTTCAAAATCGGAATCGTTAAAGCTATATATAACATTCCAACCAAGTTGCAAAAATTTCTTCCGTTCCAGCAAGACCGTATGGAAAAAGCACAATGCGAATAAAAGCTTTTTGTACTTGCCCGTTTCATCAATCGTCTCGAAGTTCTGTTCGTTTATATTATTGTATAGACGACGCATATTCGCTTTTATGCCACGTGGTGGTTCTGTGGTCATTTTTATACTTGATTGTAGTATAGAGATCGGAAATTCGGGATGTGGACTTGAGCTTAACCATAAACGAAAACGTTTATGTAGTTTCATTGTTTGCATGGTTGCAATAATTTTGTCTAATGTGGGCATCCAGCTTAAAGAAAGATGGCAATTGGCCAAAAAGACCCAGTTGCCATCACGTACACCGTCCATGATCATTTTCGTAGCAACTGGCGCTTGCCCTTGTCCCAAACTGAGTGAGAACATGCGTTGAGACATTCTGCATTGCTCAGCTAATGTGATGAGTGATTGTGTGGGATCCACACCAGGCGAAAGCACAAAAATAAGTGGTGTTTGTGATATGGATTCGTCGAAGGCAGCTTTTAAATCCAAAACGGGCGGTTCAACAAAGCGCGGTCCAAGTGTGTTGATGATAAATTGGGTGAGACAAAAAGATATACGATCGGGTCGTAAGCAACGAACGACACATATTTTCTCAAAGTCAGTCAATTTGTCGTTCCACTCGCCGACGAGATCTTCGCTCTCGGGCGTTGTGGTGGCGTACCACACTGTTTAAGGTTTGTAGATAAATTGCGTGGAATATAAAAACTTTTAAGTTGGATACTTACTCTGCCATAATTTTGGATTTTGTTCAAATGAGTCTATTATGCCGTGAAAGCCTGCGACTTTGTCTAGTTCCGTTATATTGTCCCAAGCCTGTTCACTAATCCAGTCTGTAAGAAAAATTTAATTTATATCATACGCACGCTAATCTAACAGAATTGTCGACATTTTTACTCACTGGGACTTGGATTAGGCGCTTGATTTTGTTTATCCAGTACGATACCACCTTTGAGAATAAAATCATACTCGGCTTCTACTAGCTTGCCGGCACACTCCAAGATTTTCGCCGTCATGTGTATGGAGAAGAGTAATTTGTGTATTTCGAATAGGCCACGACAAGTGTTTTTATATACCGAATACGTATGATATTCGTTTATATTCTGTATACGTTCGAATACGATCTGATGCTTTGGGCTCCGCTCAATAGACTGTATGAAGAGCAAAATGTAAGCAGCCAGTGAGAATTCATACATCGGATCGATTTTGGACATATCCATGAGTACAAAGAAAAGTACAGCTGCGCGTTCGGCAGCTGGTTGGTATTCTTGGCGCGCGGCATCGATTTCAATCTCCGTTACTTCAGCGGTGGCCAATGATTCCTTTACTAGCACTGATGTTTGACGAGATTTTTGCAGTGTAGCGAAAAGCTCGTCATCCTCCAGCAGTGAACCACGGCTTTCGTTCAAAAGACGCAGAATTTCATTGTCCAAATCGATGAGTGTGCGTTTGTTGCGTGCGATCGTCAATACTAATTCATCTTTTTGCTCCTCTAATGATGGTTTCTCCTTACGCACGATGATGCCCAAGAGTTGTGCCTGCAAGCCATCTTGCTTCACGGCAAAATTTACTATTGTCGTTTTCGACGATATTTCAGGTGGGTAATGTGGATTTGTGATTTTGGTTGTTATATACAATTTGAAGTTATCATTGTAAGTTATATATTTATCATTGAACTTGATTAGCTTCTGCCCGCTCTGCATGGTGAAGCTTTTGCGCAGAATCGGATTTATAGCTTGATCTAAAGCCTCGCCAACATTTTGCAATAATACCGGGTTTCCGGCTGACATCGCACGCTCTAATGAACGTAGATAGTCCGTTTGTGAAAAATCAATAACTTTTAAATCATTATTAGCCTCATAGTTTTTGATCCAAGTATTCGCTTGTGATTGAGGATCAATAATGAGCGGCCATCGTTGACCACCCATAACAATGACACCATTTTCAGTGCTAAAGTCATCGGCGGGCAAGCCTTGTATATTCCACTCACGTATGGTTACGGCATCGCTGAGGAAAAGCGTTATTTTCATTTCATCGGTACAGGGAATTTGATTTGACACAATCAAGCTGACCCAGTTCTCAACGAGAATATCGCGATACTTGGTATCGAAAGGGCCGAGGTATGATGTGAAAGCGGTGGATAGCAGACAATCGCCAGGCAGTTTTTCGAATGCTATATCCAGTAAGGCGACAGTCTCAATCCAACGTTCACGCTCGCCTGACAGAGATTCCACCAAAATTATGGCGCGTTCAAGTTGTTTTCTAAAGCAATTAGAATATAAATAGAATTTATATTTAAGGTTAAAATTAGTTTATAATAAATGGTTGTATAGTTTAATAGGCGCTTAAAACTTTGATATTTGTAGGGACCACGCATTCCTGTTAATGGTTTCACATGTTCACACTAGACCGCAATGAAAATTTCACAAAAGACAACAAAACTTCAAACAACAAAAATTTTCAAGCAATTTATGATCCTTTCTAAAAATCCTTTCTTTAACATGTTACCAACAGAAGAACGGCGGTTGCTTTAGTAAAAGGAATGGGAATGGTACACCCACAAAAAAGCATAAAAATAAAAATCTCTTTGTCGTTACGAATCGATTTAAAACTTGTACGTCTATCTAATCGTCGAACCCGGTAGCGAACAAAAACGATTCTTTCTTTTAAAGTTCCCTATATAGCCTGATATACTCGTATTGTAACAAAAATATGTATTTAAAATATTCCAAAATGAGAAAAATACACTATGACCCTTTTCAAACCTACTTTTGCACTAGAAAAATTCTAGAAAAATCAGCATAACATTTTAGTAAAAAAAACTTGAGTTCTTAATATTTTGACTTTGTAAATATTGAATGCAATAAGTCCACGAAGGTTTTTAAAAAAGTTGGATTAAGTTTCAGTGTGACTGAAAGATCTTTTACCAATACGAATAAAATTACCTCAACTTTTCCTCTTTTATGCGCAGTTCATTGAGTAGCTCTGTCTTCTCGTTTAATTGACGATATAGTTCGGCAATGGCGGCATTAAGTTCTTCTAATTTTTTCATAGCAGCGGCCAACATTGCCTGTTTTTCAGCTAGTGAGCGCATAGCATTGTCCAATTTCTCCTGCTTTGGCGCTACGATGCGATATACTTTAGCGTAATTCTCAATGGCCATAATCCACTGCATAAGCGATTTGCAGGCCACCGACACTATAGCTACTTTATCGGGTTCTAGCTCTGGATTTTTGGTATATAATCCAATCCTTTTTAAGGTCTTATCGGTGACATGATCACGATCGAAATTTTTCAAGTCATTCAAAAAGTTAACATCGCCGAGCACTTTTTTGGCATTCTCCCATGTAGGTTCCTTTCCCAGTATTATCAATACGGCTTCCATGACTTTCTCAATTTTCATTGGTGGACGTCCGTATGACTTAACTTCGGCCACATCTTTCTTACTTAATGCGTCTAAGGCCTTAATGGCAGCATCAATCATCGGCATAACAACGTCCAAATCAGCTTGCGCTGTTGCAGCTAAATCTAAACAAACAACTTCTTCTTGTCTTATAATTATAGCCTCTGCATCGACTTTTTCCTTTTGTTCCGTAGCCTCGGCCTTTTGTATCTCTATAATTGCAATAAATTCTTCACATTCCTTAGCTAAGACTTTCACTTGTTCCGAGCTTATTTTTAACTCTTCGGACATGACTGATACTTTCTCTTGAGTTTCTTGAATTTTCGAAAGACCATTTCGTAGTTTGTTTGCACTTGACGATACTTCGTAGCGTTTACTTTCTAGTAGTGCCTTGAAACCACTTACCAACTCTAGGTAGTTGGGCGATGTGACATAATTGTGTCGCTTAACTTCTGCTAGCATTTGTACCGACATCTGTGCCACGCTAGAATGTATCACCGAAAATACGTATGCCACTGCTTTCTGCAGTCTGTCTTCTGTAGTTTGAACCAAACTGTCCCTATGTTTTTCATCTTCTTTGCCGGGTACGGCAACATTTATTTGGAATCCCATTAAAAACTTTTGTGCCACCTCCAAAAGCGCCTCTTGCGGCCAAAGCCGGAACCAGTTTGGTGAAGTATTATTAATCAAAGCTGGATATTGTCGTATATAACTGCGAAAATCCTCGCCAATTGGACTCATTGCTAGTGACACGTGCATATTTTCGCGTACATTTTGCATAAAAAAGTTGTACAGTGACTCGGTTGTGAATTGTATGCCCGCCTTTTTTGCTGGTCTTTCCAATTCCGTTTTTAGCTCTTCAAATTCGTCAGATTTAAAGAGATTTGCCTCTCCTGTGCTCAACATATTGTTAAGTATTTCTAAGAATGCGCTTTCCGCCACTTGTTCGTTACTGAAGAGGAATACGGTACCGCGTTGTTTGATACCTGTCACTTTGTACAAATTTTTCAGATCTTCTTTGAATTCATTGGTTTTATATTTTTTGGTGACTTCAATTGAAAAAGTACCGAATTCACAAATAAAAGCGGCCAGTCGAACAAGTGCCTGCCTACCAGAACCGCCAATACCAATGTTGAGTACATGACCTCGAGGTTGTGAGATGACGCGTACAGCGCGCGCCACATGCTCTATAGCTTCTTTGAAGAACACCAAATTCATGCGTGCCATGCCAGGAAAGTTGTTGTATTCCTCCATTTGTCGATTAATATATTTTCGAAGATCTTCAAAAGCCAGATCTTCATAGTAACCTTGGTTGCTCATGAAGTCACCAAATATGGGTACAATTTTGTTAGGACACAAACTGTGAAACGTGATTTCCATATACTTGCCAAGTATGTTATTCACCTCGTTCATAAACCATCCCTGATCTAAATCGTCGATTAGACGATCACTAAAGACACGAAAAGCCTCGTGTACCCACAAACGTAGAAAGCTTGCGCGTTTCGTTTGAGCCTCATGATGGCCACGCAGTAAACCTTGAAATATTTTCGATATGTCGCGCAAATTGAATAAATAGTGGGATTTGGCTGGTGTGGGTAGCATGCGTGTAACTACGGAATTATATAAGTCTATGGTGCTGGAAGTGATTTTCAAAGCTACCTCACGTATATCATTAGCGAATGGTATTAGTTTCTGTCGAAGCATAGTGCCGAAGATGCGCATAATGGTTGCTTCCGTAGGAAAGGTCATATTGATTACGACAAAACGACTCTGCGTACGTGGCGATATTACTTGGCGACCGCCACCGGGTGGACCCATAGCTGCCATTAACAACGTATTTTGCACATAAATCTTTTGCTGATTACGTCTATTGAACCAATATTTATAATCTATCCATTGTCGGATAAGTTCCAGAGGTGGCTGAGAGCCGTAAGTGTCCTTTGCGGGCATATTAAAATCGTCCATGAAACAAATCATACGTTTACCCCCAATTGGTACAAAGAACGTCTTTGTACGTTTCTCGGTACGGTTTTCAATTGATTCCTGCAAACCAGCGGCTGTCGTCTACGAAATATAATTTGAAAGTGGAAATTAGCTGTTGTTTATAGTTAATTACGAAATTGTTCTCTTTTACCTGTGCGGATATGTTTATAGAAAGCACGGTATATTTAGTTTTATCACAAGAATCCATTACGCTGACAGCGGTGGAGGTTTTCCCAGTACCCACATTACCAACTAACATTACTGGATGTTCTTCTTGCAGTAGTTTGGACACTAGATATTCATAGCGTACAGTATCCACAGTGGGTACAATGATTTTATAGAATGGAAGGCTGAAATACAAAAATAACAATGAAATATTAATTGAACTATTCACTTTTTTACGACTGCCTAAAAACTCCTTAAAAATATTTAGGGTTTCAATGAGATATTTGGTTCCCACTTACTTCTCATCATACTTCCACGAGTCTGAAAGCATGCTCTCCCAAGGCATAAGTGTTCCATGCGCCGGATCGACATAATAGTCATAAACCGTATCCTTAATTGGGAATGAGCTATCAATTTCTCTAATAAAAGTATCCACCCGATTGCGGCTATCTTCATCGACAGTTGCACACACCGACCAAATTAGTGAGAACAGAAACCAGAGCTTGCTCATTGTTTCCAATACATCCATATTACCGGGTGCAATACCATTCTGCTTTGTTGCGAAAGCCTCGAGTAGTTTGCACATTGATATAACTACGTTCAATTGATTTGTTTTGACAATTTCCTTACAACGTAGCCGCTTGAAATCCAATACTTTATCCAAATATTGATCAAAATATTCGCGAACTAGTTTTACATACTCGGGAAGCTTTTGACGAGCTAACCACGAGTTCACATAAGGACGCCAACCCCAATCGTTGTAATCATTGTACACCATTCCACAGCGGGAAACCGTTGCTGGTGAGGCCACAGCTAAATCGGCTACTTCAAATAGGAGCGAAACCTGTGCCGGCATTGTTATTCGCTCGCTATTCACTAAAGTTAAAATTTTATTATCATCCATAACCGAATTCATATTCTCAATCCAGACTGCATCGACCGGACCATCGAATAGCAACCATTTCTGTGTGAGATCTTCATCGGCACATATGACACGCATAATCGAACTGAGTACACCATCCAACCATTCACCGGTTGCCAAATTATACTCACCGTAAAGTTCGGCTAAATTGAGAGCCTTCGGATTTACCGGATGCACTATGACTGCCTCCCAACCGGGATGCTTATTGGCGTTCATACGTCCAAAGGCGCCTTGTAAGCATTTCCAAGTGACCGACTTCGCGGTGCCTGTATTGCCGATAATCATGGAGGAGTGCCTCGAATTTTTCGTTTCGTATAATTCTATGATCTTTTTGATGGCGATGGGTATAAGCTGCAAGCCGTTACTTTTCAATTCATCTTCAATTGCCGTCTTAAAGTCACTATAGTCAATAACAGGTAAAGTAACGCCGGGGAAGATATCGGACATAATGCCATTGAAAAGTGGTAAATCGTTAGCAGTCAATCGTGCCACATTCATATCGCGCATAGCCAGATAAACGATTTCCTCCTCGTTGGTATTCGGCAGTTGACGACGTTTTCGTCCAGCGTAACGCAGCAGCGCTACCATTGAACGCAGGCCAAAATCATAGTGATACTGTTTCGATAGTTGTTGTTTGGCTAGTTCGTACAGTGTGAAAACTTTGCGCGCCAAACTGCGTGTGTTTGAAAAACCATCGGAGAAGAGTAAATTTTCTGCTATTATGGCGTTATCAGGCACCATCATAGCTATTGGGCGAAACATTGATTTAAGATTATCTGGGAGTTCGGTACGGCCAGCATAGCCGGGATTCATGGTTATAAAGAGTCCAACTGTATGTTTTAGCTTAATTACAATACCCTCAAAATTAAAATCGGTGAGCTTGGCCGAGAGCGCCGACATAATGGATAAAATTTGTTGTGCGACTACAGACAATACTTCGATATTGATACGATTGAATTCATCAAAACAACCCCAAGCGCCAGTTTGTGCCAATCCAGAGAAGTTCTTGCCGATGCTTTTGTAATCTAAACCCTCGGAACAATTCGTGACAATCACCCACATGCCCAAGGCTTTACCTAAATCTTTAACAGTCTCTGTTTTGCCAGTACCAGCGGGACCTTTCGGACTGCCACCGCGATGTAAATGCAGTGCCGTCGTTAATGTTATGTAGCAACGATCAGTGAGTGGTGTTATAACTAAACGTCCCGAATTACCTGTATACTCATAAGCATACCAATGCTCCGTATTTGTTTGTCTGATGACGCAGAGTTCAGATTCGCGATGCCAATAGAAACGAAGTTGTGAGAACCACTCGAAGTGGCTGATGTCTTTGCAGTTCACCTTATACATACGTTCTATGACATCTCGTCCATGTATTTCAATGGTGATCAGTGTGTTGACCTTAAGGCGCATAATTTTTGTTAACTCCTTACGACTTAACTCCGAGAGTTTAGCCAAAACTTTATTTTGTTTGCGTTTTAATTTGCGCAGCGGTTTCTTCTGATCCACCATTTTGCAATGTATAAGACTGCGTGTGCATTCGGTTGTCCACTGAATCTGACAAGTCGTAAGCAACATTTGGCCGGGCCATAGGGATAACCACTGCTCGCGATTACTAATAAGTTTCTTTAGAGAGGCCCTCGTTTGCTTGAGTTTCTCTTTCATAACGGCCAACATAAAATCCTCGACTACATTTAACCACTTCTCAGAGGCACCTTCTATATATAATACGTTGAGAAATTCTACATATTCACCGTCGTCCGAATACATGCCCATTGCCTGATATCGATTCATTGTTTTGCCAACACGTTTCAACTCCAACTTGTACAAATTATCGAATAGTTTCTTCAAATGCGGTTGCACCAAATCTGGTCGTTTAGCATTACCCAAAATCTCCAATAAATCATCATTGGAAATGAAGTAGAAACGTGGAAATAATTGTCGCTTCGATTCCAGATATATTTCTAAAGCACGTTGTATAAGCTCCAAACGTTCGTCCATTTTATTGAATCGTTCAAGCAAAAATGGCGGTTTGCGTAAATGTGTTGCGCGTACGGCCGACTTGGCGTTGAACATTTTCGAAGATATCATACGAAATTCATCTGTAAGGCCAACAAAACGTTTCGCTTCGTTCGGTAATTGCTTACGTATATCTTCTCCAGCAAATATGTTTTCTAAGTACAACCATTGCCGCTGTACATTTAAGGCCATTTCTATTGTTTCCGCTACATATGAGAGAGTCTTTTCCCAATAATCGACAACCTCAATGAACGGTTCTACAAACCGTGTGGATTTCATAGCCGATATCTGTACCATATGATCTTCAAGTAGCTGCATACAATCGTCTACATTTTTAATACGATATATGCCATCCCTATAGAAGGCCATTTCGAAGGATTGTTTTCGCCAAATGCTTGCAATGTTCTTGATACCATTTTCGATTTGTAGTTCCATTGTAGCGGCATTGGAGATATCCTGAATCTCTTCAGAATATGCTTGAAAGTCCAAATTAATGATAAGTTCTAGTGTGAACTTTTTGGAGTTTTCATCGAAATATCTAAATTGGAAGTCTATTCCATAAGTGAGTTCTTTCAGAAAAAGACTGTACAATCACATTGAAGAGATATCAAATCAAATCTCAACTAAGATGATGTGGCAAATAGCACGAGGGAAATTATAATGAATTGTTGGGAAAAAATAGGGCTAGTGCCCATAAGAACCTTCAGAAAATTATGAACTTTTAAAAAAGTTTAGAAAAAAAATTATTAACTCAAAGTCTAGAAAAATGTTTTAAGTTTCAATTTTATATTGCTATTGAAGTTTAGATTGTGGCGGAAATATATATATTTATTTGCATTAGTTTGAAATTTATTTGAAAATTACTAAAGCAAATTATCTTATCTATCTTACTCTTTCGCTTTTTTTATTGACAACATATTCTAAACTAACCATTCGAATTCGCTTCTCATAAGAACCTCAATTTAACTAGTGTTCTGAGATGTACTTTATCGTTGTAATCATTTAGAGCTGGTTAAACTAATCATCTCTTCTTCAAAATTCTATATTTTAAAATTCGTACTCTACCTCTTCCCAATTTGCTCTCTTCAATATGACTGCACTTTCATAAATATATATTTATTTACACTCCAACGGTGTCTCGGACATTATCCCAGTGCCGTTTACGCATGCAAGGGTTTTTGAGCGCTGTTATTAAGGGCAGGGTACGTCGGAAACTATCCACTGTTTTGGTTGTTACTTGCAACATCTCCCAATCGCGGTCAATATACCGTTTATTCAAGGTATTGAATTCCTTGTACAAATTAATAGCTGTATCTTCCATTACATCGATATTGATTTGCCAAAAATTGGATCTACGCCACTCATCCCAGGCAGTCTGCCATTCAAGTATGAGTCCCCAAATACTTTTAACAACTTGCAATTCATTCTGTAATTTCTTCAAATCCATATTATCTGGCTGATTTATATGAAATGTGCTTAGATCGGTAGTTAAACTCTGTTCGAAATTAAAACAATCTCTAACTTTATTTTCAATAATTCTTAAGTATTTGAGTGCGATTTTCGGTTTGCTATGAGAAACAGGATAGGAAAGATGAGGGAAAGAAAGATTAGGATATTATGCAAGAATATGCAAGGAAGGATGAGGGAAATGAAAATAAGCATGTTATATTAATTATATGTAAATGAGATGAACATAATTTTTTACGTTTGTGCGGAGGTTGGTAATTTCAACATGAAATCTGCTAAAAACTCTTTCATGACTGTCTTGAATTTTTCTGCTTGTCTCAGCAATGTTTTTTTGAATTCCTCTCGTGTCATTTCCAGCATATCACTGGAATGCAATAAAATCTTCAAATAGGCATCCCATTCAGTTTCCAGATTATTGACCAGCTTGCGCGTGCCTTCAGGTATTTCAACAAGATAGTAATCGAGAAGCTTAAACAGACTGAGCATTGCAGGGAACTCCGCTTGTTTACGTGGAGCATCGCTGAATAGAAATTCATACAGTTCCGTTGCCTCGCGTGCTTCTTTAAGATTACGGGGTATAATCTGTATGCGATCGCCATTCTTACGCATATAACGATAAACACCTTAAAATATTACAAATAATTGAAAAACAGTTATTGTAAAACGTGCAAAATACACGTCTTTTGACTTCAGAGAATTTTGAACATATGTTGAAAAAGTTTCCATAATCATTTTATACTCACCATTGATTTTAGTTGTTGCACGCCGCAGCAGCAGTTTTATATTTAACATTTGCCATTTTTCAATGTAATCCATTAAAGTGTTCTTAAGAAAGTTTTGATTAACCAATATAAAATATACATTCACTATGGAATCTTTCATGCCGATTTCATCAGCCAAACTGCTGTAATATTCAATGCTTTGTTCGAAAACATAAGATTTTTGATCGGTAGATAGAATGTGTTTAGTGAATTCTAATTCTGTTTTTTCCCAAATATCTCGATAATATCGCCAACCCATTAAAAATGTTTCGATCTCTTCTTCATTATATTTTACTTCGTATTCAAGTGATGATTGTATTTCCTTAGCCTCTAGATCATTGGCAAAAGTTATTGAAAATATCGGTTGTTGATATTCCTTCGGCAATTTCAGTTTTGCGGTGAGTCTAGGAAAAATCGCTAGACATGTGCTAACACGTTCGAATATACCCGAGAATAGCTGCATGATGTCTTTCATATTGGGGTTAAGTTGTATCTAATGTAGAATGGAGGTTTAAGTAGCAGTGAAATCAAATTGAGAATGTATATTAATATATAGCTTTACAATAAATACCAAAGGTGCCACGATTTTTTGCTTACCTTGCCATCAACAATATCAGCTTCCAATATAAGTATAGGCGATGGCAGTATGTCACCTTCGGACCGCACCAGATTATACACATTTAGCAAAGAGTTACGAGCGCAAGTCATGAGCGCAGCATTTAGCATAGCATCGAATTGTATAATATACTCATACCACTCGCTTTCCATCTAGAAGTCATAGAATACTTATTTACATACATCACAGAATAATTTTATGGTAAATATGTTGCTTAGACATTCGACAATAATCCTTGAAATGAACCGGATGTTTCAGAAGGACGAGGTAGTCACAGACTCGATTCATAATACAAAATATGAGAAAAAGTTGACAACCAATTATGTTGATTTGTATACTTAGTTGTCCCAAATTGACGTCATTATAATAAATTGTTACGAGTTGGATATATTTTATAATAAAGAGTAATAAAAAGGTAGTTATTTTCGTCAAGACTGCTTTCAAATCTATTCAGAACAAAATAATACCTGTCAGTCAAATTAGTTACATTAAAAGTTATCAGTATATCTAGACGAAACGGATATCTCTGTTTCCTGTTTCATTCATTAAAGTATGGACACTAGCGTATTAATTTTCTGCAGACGTTTAATAGTTAAGGAATTATAAGCACTCACCTCATCTAAAACAGGCTGGAACTCCGTGAATACCGCAAATAACAAATCGACAATTGTTTCATAGTGTCCTATGATAATGTTTGTTGCTTTACGGGTAGAGGCCGCCAATGATAGTTCGAAAACTGGTAATTCTACAGCACCGCTAAGCACTATCTTTATTAGGGCTGTATCGCAGATTTTTTCGCAAGTCTTCGCAATCTGGCGATTAGCGCGTTTATAAATATCCAATGAGTCCTGTAGCTTTTTAGTGTGCTTGGCACAGTCAGCTATATACGCATCACTTAATTCACCACTCCAAGTTAGCTTAAATAGACCAGGTGCAATTTTACGATCGCATGCATGTATTAAAGCACGAAAGAGAGTCCTCTCTTGTTCCGAGAGTGCGGCAAGTATGCGATTGTAGTCTAAGCATACGGTAAGGACACTGTTGTAGACAAATTGCAGTGTGCTGTAACGATCGTATACCTTTCGTATTAGTGGTGGTATTTGAAAACCAAGACTATCAAAATGTCGCGCTTGCTCGCATATGCTCAGTATTGAGCGATCCATATTACATTCGATCAATCCACGTTTGACCTTACTGCGTATAAGCAAAGTGCGCTCCAAACGACTCTCTAAAGTGGGACTACTACAATGATTTACCCAATCATCGAAGGCTTTTTTGATCTCCTTGGTATAATCCTTTTTAAGATTTTCAAATTTATCAAGTACGATTTTCGCCTCGGGCACAACTGGCATCCATTCGGATGTATTGAGACGATCGCGCAGCCACTGTAAGCGTTCGAGATTAATGCGATAGCCAATAGCGCGCGAAACATAATATGGCAACCAGGATTCATGTAGTTTCACACGTTCCATCAGCATTTTGGTTGTATCAGACATTTCTTTGTCGAACATTATCCAGACATCGCTCACTTGACGCAAGAAAGTTTTACGTATGCTAGCGCGATAGGAATAAAATAGTGTTACATTGAGTACCTCCAGGCCCTCCTCGATGTTGCAGATGCGTTGAAAAACATTAGACATTAATCGTTGAATGGTCTCTTCAAAACTCTGCACTGTGCGACGATATTTTAATACCTCTTCATACCTGCAAGCGAGCAAGATTTGAACTTAATGGTGTTTACCATATTTAACATTAGGCGTTAAAATGACAAATGTATTGGCTGATGTGTTATGTTATTGAGCTTGCCAAATTTCTAACTCAAACCATGTTCGGCATTCCCTGCACCTCGACCAAATATACAATTCACATATGCGAAGGCATTCTGATAAGTATTTAGCTTCACTGCCTGATGACGCCAAAAACGCAAGATAAATTTACTATCGTATAGTGCATACTAGCAGAATATTACTATCAAAATTTCAGCTTAACTGGACCGCTTCTGGAAGCGGGTAAGTTTACCGAAAAATGGGAAGAGCAATATCGGTCAGTGGTTTGTTTCTTGCTTTTGAAAGGACAGTGAAAACAAAGGCCGCTATAATATCACACTCACCACTGTTCTCCTTTGAAGGAGACCGACAAAAATTGTTTTAACGAGTTTCAATGTGGTCGTACATGAGTTTTCGATGAGCTACGCTCATTAGCGCTTTTAAGCGGAATTCAAAAGCTTTCCTACGTCGTTTCGTGACCATCGACGAAATATAAATCCATTGGTACACATCAAGACCAAATAACAAGGGTGGACTTTACATGGCGAACTTGTTCCGAAGAAGGGAACCCAAAATCATCAAAATGTAAACAGAACATTCATGAAGCACGCTCCGTAGCAACACAACCTTACATAATTGAATCATATACGGATCTCGTTATGTGAAGTATACGAGAATTAACGAAACTCATATTCGGTATTTATCAAGTTTTAATTAAAACCAGATATATTTGACATGAAATATTATATATATATATTTGATTGAAAATCGCTAAATATTGCGGTCAACCAAACCCACAACTTAATTTATTTAAAAAATGGAACGTCAAAAATCACTACAGTGGGTATGTTGGGACTAAAGAAAGAAAGATTTTAACCGATCTCATCAATTTTTGACATTAAACTAAATGGAGTTAAGTATCTTTTTCTGTTTATACTGTTTAGTGTTAAAAATTAATCATATTCACAACTTTACTTTAATAAAATAATAAAAAAATTTTAAATGTTTTTATACTCTTACAACATGTTGCACAGAGTATAATAGTTTTGTTCACCTAACGGTTGTTTGTATCACCTAAAACTAATCGAGAGAGATATGGAGTATGTATACATACATATATACATATATAGCAAATAGTCATCATAATCAGGTCAGGTAACTGTCTGCCCATCCGTCTCTCCGTGCAAGCGATAACTTGAATAAAAATTGAGATATCTTTGCTGCAAGAGATCGCAGTGGTGAGAGGTACTTGTTGGCTAAAAATTTTTTTAAAGTGGGCGTGGCCCCGGTTTTTAACGGTTAAATGCACACATATTTAAAAGCACTGAAGCTAACTCAACTAAGCTTGCTGAGAGGAATAAAAGAGCCACAAGCATAAAATTTCACAGCAAGGATAGGAAACAGGAAAGCACTTTATAGGAGCCAACGTAAAAACTGAACAATGGGTGTGACATCGCCCACATTTAGGTGAAATCCCATATCTCGGAAACTACTTTACGAATTTTAACAAAATTCGGTGTGTGAGTTTATCCTATTATTACTATTGCACGCTATGGAATGGAATCGGTTGACAACCACGCCTACTTCCCATTGAACAAATTTTTAAAATCCATTTGATTTTTTTACTTTACAGTATACAAATCAAACATCAAAGAAGTTATTAGGGTAAAACTTTGCATAAATAGTGTCCTCAAAGTCTTTAATCTAACGCCCAAAGATTGTCGAAATCGGATTATAACTTTTCAAGGACGCTGGCACCAAATGTATGGACCCCAGTGCGTATGGTTAATTTCATACCGTATCATATTCATATCGGTCAGCATGCTCTTGTGCCAAAAATGGGTAAAATAGGGTCAATACTTCCCTTAACCCCCAAAGACATAGTATAAATATTCAGTGGACTTTATACCGCATCTCTCGGTCAATAGTAAGAAATCTTAATGAAATTCCGAAAGAATCTCTTTAATATAATAATGTATCTTCGTGCCTGTGATTGCAATACTTCATACTTTTATTACTTCATACTTTTATTTGCGAGTATAAAATGTTCGGTTACACACGAACTTGGAGCTTCCTTACTTGTCACACACCCTTCCTTACTTATTTTTAATAGCATGCATTGTTCTATATGAATATCTTACCTCCGAAATTGAAATATGCTTTTCATTAAGCTTGGATTAGTTCCCGTATATACTTCTCCTATAGGTTAGCATCATGCACTGATTTTGAAAATCGGGATTGAAGTGCTCGTGTTTGGGAATTATCTAAAAACTGAGTATTTCCCCAGCGAAGTAGACAACAAAAAAATTATGTGCAGCACATGACTTTGATATTTGAATTGGACCACAGTGACTGGTGCGATAAAATGCTTAATGCATGCATTGGTTTATGGAAGTCAACTATCCTCTTATAACGATTTCTTATGATCGTAACATTCTTAGCGGTTGTATGGGTTTCCCCCGGTACCTGTGGCTGAAATTTGCTATTACGGCCGCAAGAAACGAACTGTGGTGTAGAATGAGGTATAGGCCCAGCAACTCATTTCCAATACTGAGTAGTAAAGCCGCTGCTGTTATTATTAGTAAGAAGTACGCTTGTTCAAGTAATTAAAAAAACTGTTATAACCAATAAGCGTCATATTTAGGCCTATCTTCTTCGCTTTATATCAAATCATTGTATGATTCTTTTATATGTATGGTAGTGCGAGTGTGCATTCTTACACGATATATATGATACATATATATCATCGATCTCTTAACTCACCACTCATTTTTGTTGACATTCAATATAAGTTCCTTAGAGTCGTGTTCCAAAGCATCCAGTAACACCATAAATTGCTTTTCAACTCCTTCTGCAGTTCTCTCAAACTCTTCGCCGTTAGTGCCACCAAATGTTGGCTTTGGTATTGCCTCGGTTTCATCCAACCGACCGAATACAATCATCGATTCACAGATGTCAATGAGATCATTAAGGCGTTCAATAAACGCATCGACATGATTAAATATCATGGCATTTTCCAAATCCCAACCAATATCAGGTTTACGAGTGGCATGTTCCTTCGACATTAAATCATAGATAGCTCTGTATGAGAGGCAACAGTCGATTGCCATATTTGCCATACGTATACCGAAACGTGGGTTTCCTTGCAGTACCTTATCGACATTTACCTGATCCAGAGAGAACTTGATAATTTGGTTGCTTAAATTACGAAAAAGGCCAGTGATGAGATCTCGCCGTTGATAAAACTCGGAATTTAACCAAATATAACGTATGATGTTTACGATCTTTGGTATGAGTGCTGGCACAGCAGCTGGTGATTCGGCCTGGTCAATATGTGAGCAAGGCTCGTTCAGCAAAAACAGATATTTAATATTCGATTTGGCTTCTTCCATTTCATTGTGACATTCTTCGATAAGTTCATCCACTTGCTTTATGTAAACAGAATGTGAATTGCGTAAAACGTGAATAATCTGTTGGACGTCTTCGTGTTGCAATTGTGTGTCCAAGCCTTGTAAGACTTCAACTGGAATAAATAAGGAAATCAGCAACTGTTGTCAATTTAGTACCATAAATTTTAGCTGCTTACATCGATAGAGCCAGAACTCATACTCTTCTGTAGGCACCACGAAATCATGTTGTGCTATGAGTGTCTTGTCATTTATGAGTGTGCGAATTTGGGTCGTCCAATAGACCACAATCGCTTCGAGATTTTTAACAAATTCACGATCGTGCTGTACATCTGCCCGTGAGATCTGTTTTACCACATAAGGCACATATAATACTGTAAGACCGGCCATTTTGTAATGTAAACTCGTAAGATAACATAGAAATTTATCCATTGCTCTGCAGAAGCGGCTCTTTATATTGTCGTTCCAATCCTTGTAGTTACGGAATATTGGTTGATATACATATTGCATAATTTTTAGTAAACAGCCATCTACGTCCTCTTGTATCGTACCGAAGTAGATCTCATCATGGAAACCCTCTACTGTGAATATTTGATTTTGCTTACGGACGTAATAGCAAATGTCAGCCACGGGGGCCAGAGGGAACCCTAGACAAGCGCTAAGGATATTACGATCATAGAAAATAGTCATAAGAGGATAATTGACTTCCATAAACCATCGCCTAATGGTGGTCAGCGTCTCCTCACACCAGTCGCGGTGGTCCAACGCGAATAGCATAGTCATGCGTTGGACATACATGATGAGCTTATTCATTTCCTCCTCGGTATAGTCAGGTATTGGTATAACTGGAGTTGTGGGTAGTAGATCCTTTTTCTTTTTGTCGGCAGCCTCTACATAGACGAATATTATACGAAGTTATTAGCAGAAAAATTGGTGAGCTTCCTGCCCAAAAATGTCTTAATTACCTTGACCATCCGTGGAAGAGCTGCTAGACATGCTAAGAGTGTCGCCTGTAGCTCCTTTGTCCATAGCTTTCCCAGATTCTTTTCCTATCTGAGCCATTTTGCCGGCACGTCTATTCACTTGATGAAATTGTTCAAGAATGTGAAAATTTCTGAAAATGTTTCCTTAGATTTACAAGCGTTTCCATGCAGCTATGAGCAAGTTGTTAGTGCAAAGTGGAATTCATATAGAGTAATGATGTTGCTTAGAAGCGCTTTGTAAACAAATTGTTGTAAATAAATATTCCTAAAAATGTTGCCTAGAGCAACATAAACAGCTGATCGCCTATTGATTATTTTGATTTCTTGTTGGTAAGTGAAACTGTCTGAATGTTGGGTTTCACCGTGTAGTAATGCTACAAGTTATGCACTTCTTGTTGTAAGGTTTTATTCAATGCAAACTCTTGTGTTCGAGTTCGTGCTTTCTGGACAAGGTATGCAATCTGGTGAGAAATGTGTGTTTAGTTCAATTGGAGTGCCTGCAATGAATGTATTTCTTTGAGGAAACTTTTGGCAACGAATCGTTGTAGCTCGAACCCTCGGACTCGAAACATGATTGTCGTCAACATCAGGTGCTACATTAAGAAATTAATTTAAACTATATATGTACGTCCATGAAAAAGATGTTCTTAAGTCTTAGGATAAAAGAGAGTAGAAAGAGATTTACTTATAGGAGTAAATAAACCGATCAAGCATATATAAATAATAAATAAAAATTTGGTTATGGGACTAATCCTCGCACCAAAGGTAACGCAGAATCACATATGAACAGCAGTGAAACTTGGTCCTTTATGATTCCTAAACTCATAGATATGGATCGCCAGACGGTTATAAATCGAAAAAGCATTTTGATCGTACTACAAATCTATCAATGCGGATAATATCAAACCTGGCAGCCACTTCGCCAGGTTTGCAAAAGGTGTATGCACGGAGATGCTTCAACCTCAGTTTGGCATAAGCTGAATAGTTAAAACGAAGTATCTAAATGATTCTACCTCGTCTTCCTCCATCCCGTTAGAACCAGTAAAGGAAATAGGAGGGAGATTCGAGACAATTATTTTTGGGCCCGGAGTCCTCAGAGAGCTCTGAAACAATGTTTTATAGGTTTTTCCACCAACAATCCACTACAACCATTCTCTGGTACCGGTTTGCTCTCTATGATCCTGGTTAGAACATCTGCCTTTGCGGCGAGATGAAATAGTTGAGAAAACTCTTGCGTTCCACTCTGGGTCAGAGGGTTCTCGCAATAGCCAAATTTTTGGTTGTTGATCTCGGGATGTCTAAAGATTCATAGTTAGAGCCCAAGAGGACAGCGGAGTACCAACTCTTTTTCAATCTGATGAAATTGTGGGAAGGGTTCCCTCTCTGGTAGTCTTATTGGCTCTGAAGCACAAACAAAGCTAATTAGAAAGTAGCTTGATGCTATTGATAAAGAGATCAAACATTCCTTGACTAGTGTTAAGCGCAATGTCTGCGTCCTGAAGGACAGTAGAGCCGCACTGCTATTGCAGTGAGTGCACACCTCTCTGAAGCAAGTTGCTGTTCCTTGAGTGCAGCCACCTTCTCTTGAAAGATACTCCAGTGGTCTGGAGTCTGAAGTTACAATTGAAGGAGAGCTCCCGGCAGAAGACCGCCCCCCCTCTCACTTTTCCCTTAAGCCTCGATCCATCCGTGAAAAAGCGCACTGAACATCTGCGGCTCACCGTCAAAGATCTTTTCGTGTACAGTCAAGCTGCAAATCTTACTTTAAGTTATATCGAGCGTCTTTGCATCTTATCTTATTTAACTGTTATCACTATTTATTAAGTCACTTGAACCATATGTAAATTATGTTGTTAATAAATTATTAAACGGAGGGTGTTCCAAATTCAAATTATGTTCGTCACCTTCCAACGATACTTATCAAATCATACCATTATGTAAACAAGCATAAAAGGTAATCAATGACGTGCCATCGTCAATGAATTTAATATCACACTCCCGCACGACTTCGTCTAGTCAAGCCCAAAGTTTGTTTACTTATTACTCATTGAGCATCTTGGCAGCTTGGCGGCAGCAAACACAACAGAGTGTACAGCATTGCAGTGGCAACATGCCAACAAGTTAATTACAATAATTTTATACTTTTCGCCTGCAGTAGCAATCGATCAATGGCAAATCCCTCAATTGTGCTTTCTTAATTTGCGGAAATTTTCGACATTTCATCACCAGACATCCAGCCAGCCAACCGACAGCGTGCAGCATGCGGTGCTCAATACTCAATGCACAGGGCGCCTGCAAAAGGAATTACATTAAATAATAAATTACAATAATTAAGCGCAATACACCGGTGCAAAAGGGTGTAATTCACACACGGCTCACTCGAGTGTTGGCACCCTCTTAAAGTTAAACATAGGTTAGCAGCAGCGCACCAGCATTTCGTCTCCGGAGAGTAACATTAAGTAAAAGAGAGAACGTTTGACGAGTTGAAGCGAAATAAAAACACCAACAATGGCCTTAGCTTTTCGGAAGAACTTTTCAATTGTTGCATCAGTTGATATATTTCTTGCTTGTTTTTTACTTTTTCTTCTTACTGTTGTCTGTCACACCCTCGATTGCTGTCTGCAAGGAGTCTGCAGCTGAAGACACCACCAGCGTTTGTCATCGGCCACCACAGAATTGGCGACTGGTAATGATGAGATTGAGCGGCACTGAAAGCGTTGCAGGCGGGACTCAAGCACATGTAGACAGGGCAGGTAGACAGGTAGATAAGTAGATATGAACTTACGCCATATACATGTGCGAGTGCTCGTGAGCAAAAGAAAAAAATATATATTTAATGGATATAGGGTTTTGCACTTGTATTTGTGATGGTCAACATTGCCCTCGTTCATTGGCAATTCAATGAGAAAGTCCAATAGTGAACTAGTAATTTAAGCATCGCAAATTCTGAAGCCTTGAAGAGGTCAAGTTTAATCTGCTGTTAGATTAAAGAGTTGCCATATTATTTACAATATTAATAAAATAAAAAGGCGTTAATTTAAAGAAACTCCAAACAGAGTCAAACACTTAATATTTAGCTATTGTAAATAAAGATCGCTAAGTTTAACCACTATGACTATGGTCAATTTGTAAGGACTTAAGACTATTTTACTAAGTCAACTGTTGTTATGGTAATAAGATTTTTGCAGCATTTTTCGAATTCGTCGAATTCGTCTGCATCTGTACAAAAATCAAATTTTGGAAGGCGAAGAACGAACAATTGTTTTTTTGTAAAACGCTACCATTTTCACAATTTGTTTTTGATCATAGGTCATTGTTAGGACAATAGCTTCGAGAATAGAATTTATTAGGTTTCATCCACGAAGAAGGAAAAGCTGAGCTCAGGTGTAACCGAACATTTAATACTCTTACAATGTTCGACGAAATCATGAATGGATTACGATTAAATTTGATATCATATTAACTTATTCTGAAGGTCATAGACTAATTTAGTCTTCTTACTATATTTTACTTTCTGTCAGCGAAAAGTATACTAAAATCATTGGAGGCAGAGGAATGGAAGGGTTGATTGCATTAATTTGGACATAGCTCAGGCATACTTGAGAACTTATTTTCAAACAATTTTATAATGTATATAATTAAACATATATAGGGAGTAAAGTCAGCCGGACGTTTCAAAATCTTGAATATCGGTTATATGGGGGCGAAGGAGGTTTTCGCCAGACTTTATCCATTTTAGGCAGAGAGATATACCGTTATTAAAAATAAAATGCTGTTTGATTTGATTAAAATAACTAGCATATTGGCCGATATATTTGGTATAAAGTCAGTTAGAAGTTCGCAAATCTTTATATTAGGTATATGGGGGCTAAGGGAAGAATTGATCCGATTCACCTTATTTTTGTCACAACGGTATATAATTATTAAAAAAAAACATTTTTCCCGAATCTTAATAATATTGTATATCTCACAGATTGACCGAAATTTTCGGCAAAAAGGCAGCCATGCACACTGGATCCACATATTTGACATCTGGGTTCTTGAAAACTAAGATTCCGATTTATCTGGATACATTGATTGGTTCTTGACTTGCACACTGGCAAGTGAAGGAATCAGATGGCACGCCTATTTTTCAAAAGTTTTGGCCCACAGGGCTTAAGCACTGATCATTTATATATGGTATATATAACTCCATACTTATGTCGATTAGTTTTAGGTGTTAAAAACAACGGTTAAGGGAACCAAACTATTATGCTCTGTTGCAACATGTTGCACAAGTATAAAAATATTGAATTTTTTTCTTACAATATATAAAAATATTGCATTATTAGAATATATATGAATATACCATTAAAATTAAAAAATAAGAGAAAACAGTAACTTCGGTTGAAAACAATAACAATAATGCTCTTCACAAATACCAAAGATTCCATACAAGAACTTGATTTTGATCGGACAGTTTGTATGGCAGCTAAATGCTATATTGGTCCAGTAGTCGAAATATTTTTCGAGACTTGTGGAGTTTTAATGAATTAAAGCGCTATTTCAGCAGTGTTCGAAGACTCCACGTGGCATGTGTTATTAATACATCTCACACAGAGGGTTTGATCGTTAGCCATTGCGTATACTACATTGCAGTTAAATTTTTCCTATGAGAAGTATTTGTTTGCCTTAAAGAGTTCTTTCATTATCGATTTATCTAATTGAAAGTGTGCTTGCTTTATTTATATTAATTTTTTAATAGATGCATATACGGATATGTATTGAAAGTGATATATATTTACATATTATATACTTGTAAATGAAACGGTGTTGTCTTGTTATTTAACATTTTCTTTAACATTTCTAGAAATATATTGTCGTTGCCCAAATAGCGGTTTCGGTTGTTCATATTGTTGCTATTGTTATTGTGCTTGTTGGCCGCCTGGCTACGACCCACTTCAATTTGATTTACGATTTGGCGACACGCCTATAACTAACAACTGCGTTCGCCTCCCAAAGGCACAGCATACACCAACTCAGCACACTGTCCACTGTTATGTAGGTATGTATGTATATGTATATATGTATGTATGTATGTATGTCAGTGAAATTTAACATTAAACTACTTATGTACGTGAGCATATACTCGTATGTATATAAATATTAGGGTGCGCAAAAGAAAACTTTTAA